AGGTTTGCCCCCCCCTGTTCTAAATACTCTCTCCAGCTAAACAGAAGAAGGGAGGTTGTTAAAATGAAAGCTTTATTTAATATTTAAGGCATTTGAAATGTAAAGTGTTTTCTGTACCTTTAATGAAGGTTCCTAGTGTATGCCAAACCCTGAACCTTGTTTAACACTGTTTAATGTTGGACTGTGACTGGGTCATGTTTACACCTTTGACTCATTTGGTCTCCTTTTATTTAGTTTTTCATGTCTTTGGATGATCAGTGTGAAATACCCAAACAGTTTATTACAACCCCAAGTGGGTTTAAACAGTATTTATAAGGAGAAAAATCATATGAAAACAAAAGTAGTATTGTGCATAAACATAACTTCAATAGACATGTCTGAAACTCGGCAAAAGGTCATCTAGATAGGTACGGTTTGGGATGGCTGCAATAATGAAAGTCTTACATGGAGTTATTTTAGATTGCCCTCAGTGTAACTGAGAGCAGTCAATGGTTTTTTGTAGGGGTTTGGTATGAGAGGTAGAGGAGTGGAGCTTAAGGGAGAAAAAGTTGTATTACTTATAACTAGAATATTAACAACCTTAACTTCTGTCCCCTTCGACTCTCTACCTTCATATAAGATCAATTTTCTAATTGCTAAAACAGCATCCTAAGGCTGGTATGGAAGCTTATTAGTCAGTTAGATAACCTAGTGCCTGCCAGGATTTCACTTGCAGTATGTTTTCCAGTGTCTTTTCTAGTCTAGTTTTAGATCTCCTCACTAGAAATTTCCCTTGAACTCATCCTAAAACTTAAAGCCAGACAGAAGGAAAACATTAACATCTGTATTGGTTTCTGCTTCACAGGTCACAAAAATGGTCAAAACAGTCACCACTAGAACAGTTCGCCAGGTCCCCCTGGGGCCCGATGGTCTGCCGGTAATGGATAGCTCCTCTCCCATGGGCAGCTACACAGATTCAATAGACAGAAGATACATGAAGAATGGTGAGCGTTACATCACACCACAAGCTTCGTCCACGTTGACCAGATCTTACAATAGCTACGATTCTTATCCCGACGCCCACGACAGCCAGTATCGCCCTTTTATCAGCCACGATGGCTATGGAGACCTAGCTGACAATTATGGCAGCTTGTCCCGTGGCATCAACTACCGTCCTCGCTATGCCTACATGCCAGGAAACAGTTACCGGCCAGAGGATGGTAGTTTCACCTTGCCAAGCAGGAGGGATAACTATGGTCCCATGGCCCAGCCCCAAGTGCCAACAGGCAGCAACGTTGACTTGAATCGCTCCCAGCCAGAACGTTTCCAGCCAGAGCCTTATGGGTTGGAGGACGATAACCGGAGCCTCGGGGTAGATGATGAAGGGTATGAACTGGACCCAGATTACTCCACAGTGAACCGAAGGACATCTGCAGGGGTGCCTGAGAGGGGGAGACCTCACAAAGGAAGGTAAAATCCTGCGGCCGAATATTTGCGATCCTCTCTGCAGCTATTTTAGTGATTTATTTTAAGCTTAAAATGTTAACCTCAAATAGTCTGCATAAGCTTCTGGAGTGACGAGCAGCAAAAACAGCCACAGTTGCAGTCAGTGTGGCCTTTCCATGAACAGCTAACCTTTTATAATCACAAGAAATCAAAATGACCTAACATAAGCGCCAAAAAAAAAAAGGAATGAGTGTAAAACTCTAGCTTGGGTTTCCAACTCAGTTCTGATTCTGGGTGTGGAGATGGACTTTCCCAAAGGAATTCTGTCTCCCCCAGTCAACGTTCTTACAGTCCTTCCCTGGAATCCCGAGGGACAGGGAGATTGAGTGGGCTCCTTTGGAGAAAAGTTGACTCCCATGAGGCAGTGGGCTTTCCTAGGGAAGACCAGCTTGCTTACCACAAACCAGATAGAGACCCTGCAATACATAAGTCACCAAACACTATGTGAAAAATGATATATGCTCTGTGTGCAAGGATCCTTTCCCCAAATTGCAGGGCAGCTTAGTTTTAGATTATATTTAGAAAGAAAAAGTGCTGGCTCTTATAAAATGGCTATGTTGCATTTTTATTTGTAAAGAGACAGTTTGTGACTATATTTTGTTGTCTCCCCCATCCAGTGCCAGGGGGGAAATGGACTGGTACATTTTGTGAGAATTTTGACAGGGCCCGAATGTATCTGTCTCCCAAATAGGAATGTTAAAATTAACAACTGTCTGGTTACAGTTCTAAGAGACTTAGGGCCTGTCATTCCCTGTTGCTGAAGGAATACCTCTTTAAATAAGTACACTCCGGTGAGATATGCAGCACGTTCTGCTCCCAGTTGAACCCAGCTGGGAGATAAGGGTGCTCAGCACTTCATAGGAAGTGCATGTAAATTGGACCATTATTTAGTACTGTCAAACTACATGAAGGGAAGAAGACAACATATGTATTACCCTTTACACGACTAGAGAGGCTAGTCACAAATTGCTTCTGCTCTAACCACTTTCCTGGGAGATGTTCTGCTTTCTCTCACAGCCCACGTTTTGCTAAGCATTCTGGAGCTCCTGTCATCCACATCGGGCTTGCAGAAACTGGTTCTTGTGAGAAGAATCATGCTTGGGAGCAAGGGATTTCTTTTCAGTTGAAATCACACATTGGCTTTCTAAACCTTGAAAGTGTGTGTCATTTCTAGCGATGACATATACGGACTTCTCATTTGTTGTGTCCCTCTCCCTCCCCCCCCGGGTTGATTTAGTTAGAATACAAGCCTGGTCCGTCTCTGAAGGATGTGTGCTTAATTTCCATTATTTCTCATTTAAAATAAGTTAAAATCTTGAGTACAGTAACCTGGGTCTAATTCCATCAGCCCCTCCATTGGAGATTCCTTCTGAAGACGCATAAAAGCAAATGCCACCAAACTGGCACCAACAAACAAACAAAAAAGAAAAGAAGCCAGAGCTGTACAGTAGCCTCTGGAAATTCTACATGATGCAAGCCTACCTCTTTCTCTCACACTTAAATACATTGGGAGTTGAAATGAACACTAATCTGGCAGCTGGTGGGTACTGAAATATTGATTGATTTACCAAACTTGAATAACCTTGCTGTTATCTAGAGGCAAAAAACCTTTTTACAGCCCTTGTTAAAAGCAGTCAGGCAACAGGGGACTTTAATTTTTGTTACCGTTTTGCAAACTGCATGCAGGATGAATATCTAAATACTCTCTTAGAACCTATCAATTCTGCAGTTTCAAAAGTTTGAAACATCCCCTTTGATTTATTGTTCCACAACAGTCTTGTTAGAACCAATTTACAGTTTTTGTTTTGCATTTCTTTTGTTGTTTTTCCATATTTAATATGATCAAGGGGCTTGACAAGCAATTAATCTGAATGTGGCAGTAAAGTTTAGCTCGTGAAAACATAAGAGGAGTGAATGAGGTCTACTTCATAAAATGGTTGCTCTTAAACATTTATAACTACTCAAAGAAATATTTAAACAATTAAACCTATGTCTCAGGTATGCCCTTGATCTATAAGAAGCTAACGACAACAAATAGTGCTTCATGTTTAATGATGAAGCCCCAATGTAATTAGTGCGTGATTACAGCTTTTTAATTCTCTTTAGTCTATTCATCTTAAAAGTAAAGTTACTGCCTGTCAGGCTGTCTGGAGTAGCTCACAGCCAAGAGTGCCAACCTCAGGGAAGATACCCCAAACTAGTGGTATGTTCTGTTAGATTTCACCAACCCAGTAACAAATGTGAACTCCTAGATCACTGAAACAGTCAGACTGTCTGGACTCCATGGTAAATCTTGACATCCAGGCAAGCTGGACTTAGTGATAAATGGTCACTTACACCAAAAATTGCAAAATATTCAGGCTACTTCCAAACCCAAAAGACCCAGTCACTTGCCCCAGATCAATTTGTACCTTAGATTTCACATCAAAGACAACACTGGTAGCCAGTCCTGTAATAAATTTAACTAAAGGTTTATTAAGTAGGAGAAAGAAATGAGAGGTATTTTACAGATTAAAGCAAGCAATCCTATATACATGAATGAGTTTGTCTGCGATTCAAAAAGTGTCAGAGATATAGTAATCTGTCAGCATTGAATGTCTTTTTAGGGCTTAACCCAGGTCAACAAACTTATATTTTATCTTGTAGCATAGAATACAGACATTACAAGTAAGATTAATGCATGCAGCAATTTACAAGCATTGTATAGAATCTAAATGCATTCTTACAAGTCTAACACCTATCTTGAACAATATTAACATATAGGTGAGCTGGTCTGGTTTCCAGCTATGAATTTGTCAGTGCTCCACTAGGTAAGAGCTGGCACCTGGTTTACCAGCATCACAGTGCCCATAAAAGGTAATAAATTGATGGCACTTGAAGCTGAAATCCTCTGTGCATAGACTAGGATGATGACGACAATAGATGCTTCCTCACACAGCTCAACAATTGTGCCTCAAAGAAGACTTGGAGGGATCCTTTTACATTTGAGACAAGATGTCCGGTTAGTTTTCATGTCCATTCGGTCTTAGACTGTCTGTTGAAACTACTCCCTGAGGTTGCAGACTGTGGTGGCAATCTGTGTTGTGGATATTTATTCTCTAGACATAGGAGCAAGATCAAGCTTCTTTTTATACAGGCCACTGATTGGCCCTGAGATGTTCTAGTCCTTTTTCCATTTAGGCCTAAATAAGTAGTGATGGAAGTGTCTCATAACACTTTTAATATCTAGTTTTTGGCAATAACCCATACCTGATTCTTCAGAGGAAGGCAAATCCCAAGGTAATGTATGTAGCTACTGGCGCGATGTTGCAAATAGTGGAAAAATTAAAGGATAAAAGCACATTGTGAGCAATTCATCTTCACAGGCAGATAGAATAAAGAAGGTTGAGGTTGGTGGTGCCTATTCTTAACACACTCCCTACCAGATTTCTCTCAGCACAGTAATTGTATGAGCGCAAGACATACAATGATCCTCATCAATACCTTCAGGGAAGGTACTGCTCACAGAGGAATGCCAGAAGGGGTATTAAATAGGGGAATGGTTGATCCCAAACCAAAGTAGACCTGGAATTAATCACTTCCACAAAAGAAACTATAAAAACTTGTGTACAGAGAGGAGGAAATTGGAACAAATCTAACCCTTCTGAATTGGCTTCTTTAAGACTTTAAGACCGAACCAGGCACAGGACTTTTTGCAGTTGACAGTGACCTTGGTATTCTCTGTGAGTTGAATTCAAACATGCCTGTGATAGATGCTGCAGAAATACCTCAGATCTGCCCTAGCTTTGCCAACCCTCTTGCTGCTCCAGTTCCAACATCCAATTTCCTAAGCAGGGATGAATTGTGCAAGGGATGAATTGCGTGTGGCGATTTTTTCAGGTGTCAACAAATATTCCCTGGAGTTTGGAAAAGACCAGCGGATTTATTTTGTCCCATGTCATTTTCAGTAAAGGTAGACAATTCTAGGAATAAATTACACACAACAAACATAATGCCAGCATGTGGAAATAGAATGTTTGAGAACAGATCACTGTGTGCTACGGCATCTTCTGCTCCTTTGTTGTGTGGAGTTGGGAATAAGCTGGACTCTTGTTTGGATGCTTACCCAGATCATGGCAGAAATCCAAGTGTAAGACTTTTTTTAAATGCAGTTTCTTCTCGGCTATTGCTACATTAAGATGTTACTAGAGTTTAAAATAATAAACATTGTGATCTATCCCTGGTGCCAGAGTTACTGGACTTACTCCCATTCCATCCCAGAAAGCTTGGATAAAAGCTAGTCATCTAGGTCTACTGCATTGTGTTGAAGTGATCTAACTCTATAAGTAGAGGATCCTAGTCAGGTGGGTTATATCTGCACGTTGCCTTTCCCAGTTGGTGGAAGTTTTTATCCACCCTCCGATAAGGCAGCTGTTGACAGTGTTCTCACTCTCCTCTCATCACTGGCCTAATTTAAACCAGTTGTATTTGAATATAAATTGTGTGTGTGGGGGGGAAACGTTCAGATCTTCTTCAAATACAGATGAGTGTACAAAGGCAATTTTTCCATCTGTTTGCACTCCTGTGCCATGCGGCTGTGTTTGTTTTGTAAAGTCAGTCCGCCATTCTGGCTTTCTATATTGAGAGTGTTTGGATCATACGCATTTTTAGAATGGGCCCCTCAGTCCGTAAAATTCAGAGTTCAGGCAACTTTGTTGTTGATATTAATGCCATGTCCCCAACACTGGAGTGAAGATGTCAAAACAATTTGTGTTCTCTTGCAGGAGGTAAAACACAAACATAAACAGCATCAGGTGCAAAATTTTCAAAACCTGGCCGTAGTAATGAGTGCAATTCTCCATGTACTTGGACTAGTGAACGACTAAGGATGCCAGGTGTCTGGTTTTCAACTGGAACGCCCGGTCGAAAAGCGACTCTGGCGGTTCCTGTCAGCACCGCTGGCCGGGCTGTTAAAAGTCCGGTTG